ACTCGGCAACAAGACTAGCAGCGTAGTCTAGGCGAAAGCGAGCAGCAAAGTCGACGAGCTCAGCAACTAGGGCACACGCAGCAGTGGACTCGAAAGAAGGGTCAGTGACAACAGTAGCCAGGAGACGCGTGACAGTAGAACTGGCAGCACTAAGAGAGTCCGACTCCGGGTCGGCAAGAGCAGGAAGAGAAGACTTAGGAGGAGAAGGCAAAGGGGCACGCAGAGGAGCAGTAGACGGACGCAGAGACATCCGGTGCGTGCCAGGGACAGGAGGAGGACGCTGACGCGATTTGCGACCACTAGTGCGAGCAGCACGAACAGGCGACACAGGTCGAGACGCAGGCTCACAACGCTCAGCAAGACCTCCAGTAGGACCAGTGTAGGGACACGGAGCAGGCAGTGGGGAGGCCGGCTGTAACTGTAACTGTGACGGGACAGGCTGTGGACACTCTAAGGGAGGAGGAAAAGGACCAGTATAAGACGGGAGACCAAGAACCTACTGAAGGAGGGGAACGAAGTACGGCCAAGGCCGCGCGGCGACTCCAGACACAGCAGGGACAACACCAGCACCCCCAGCGACAGCACCAGCGCCAAGAGCACCTCCAGCTCCACCAGTAGTACCCGCAGCAGGACCTCCAGCAGCAGTCTCAGCTCCAACGCCCTCAGTAGCACCAGCTCCAGTCGAACCCGCAGGCCCGGCAGCTCCAGTACTCCCAGTACAAGCACCTCCGGGACCCGCGACAGCAGCACCCTCAGTAGTCGAAGAACCTCCAGCACCAGCAGCACGCCTCCTGCGCCGGGCAAACCACTCGCGCAGCTCCCGTGGAGAGAGTGGCTCCCGCAGAGACGAAGCACCCGGAGAAACTCCAGGCGCAGCACCTCCAAGCTCAGCACCCCCAGGCTTAGGACCCCCAGGCTCAGCACCCCCAGGCTTAGCACCCCCAGGCGCAGCACCCCCAGGCACAGCACCCCCAGGCTCAGTACCCCCAGGCTCAGTACCCCCAGTCACTGCACCCCCAGGCTCAGTACCCCAAAGCTCAGCACCCCCAGGCTCAGTACCCCCAGGCTCAGCACCCCCAGCGTCAGCACCCCTAGGCTTTGCACCCTCAGCAGCACCAGAGTCATTAGTGATCTCGACAGGCTCGACCGCATCTACGTAGGACACACCTGAAGGGGACGGACCCTGAGGGGGGAGGGGGTCTACCGGAGGGGGACCTGGTACAAGGAAGAGCGGCGGCAGGGGGAGGGACGGAGTGCGGTAGGGGAAGAGGCGGTAGTAGGGGACCGACTCGTCAAACGTGACGTCCTAGGAGGACAGAACACGGTGAGAGGTGGGGTGGTAGAACTGCCACCCAGGCGCGTCAGGTGGAACCCCAGGAAGACGCAAGGAGCAGCACGAGGGGACAGCTTGTCCGCAGACAAGTCGCGGACAAACGCCCGAGATCCCCAGACCCGGAACGCCGACGCATCGCCAACCTTCCCCGTCCACAGCAAGGCTGGGGAGGTCTCCGGCCGGGAGACCCTGGGGTGTAGGTTGAGCTGATGCGCCGCGTACCTCACCGCAAACGGCCACAAAAAATGGGGAGCAGCCGCATGCATCATAGACGTATGAGCGACGTCCATGACCATGCCAATGCAGCGCTCAGCAATCCCATTTTGCTGCGGGGAGTCCGAAAGTGTGAAGGTCAGACGAATCGCTTGTGCGCGACATTAGGCTCTCAGAAGGTCAGAAGAAAATTCTTCGCCTCTGTCCGAGTGCAGACGCAGAACAGGAAAGTCCGAGCCAAAGCTCTGCCTGAGGTGGAGACGAGCTGCGCGGATCCAGTCGATCAGCACCTCAGTGACATCACCCTTGTTGCGCAAAGGGAAGACTGCGGTGTAACGCGAGTAGTCGTCAACAACGAGCAGGAAGTAGCACTCGTGACCCTGTCCACAGACGCGGGCTGGGCCCCACACGTCCATGTGAAGTGTCTGCAACAGGGCCTCTGTCAGAGGAAACTGGGAGGAGTGGGGGGCCGCCCGCTGCCGCCCCTCAACACAGGGGACGCAGGTGGGGCCAGACCCCGGAGGAAGGGGAGGGAGGTACCGGGGAAGACCAGAGACAAGGACACGGGAGGCCATGCCTCGGAGACGAGGCAGGGAGGGGTGACCAAGACGATGGTGCCACAGGAGAGTCTCGTGAGACAGGTGGCGACACGCGCAGGGGGCAGACTCAGGACCAGACCTGGACGCTGCAGCAAACACCTGACCCGACGCAGCTACCTGACTAGACGCGGTGACAGGAGGAGACTCAATGGTCAGGGTGTACAGGCTCGACCCCGGCAGACGCGTAGACGTGGCCAGGTGTCGGCCTTTGCGAGCGTCCAAGCACTGGGTCACCCGCTGACTCGCAAGAGTAAACTGGTGAACCCCCGCATCTTGCAGGTCAGCACCACTCACCAAGTTCGTAGAGAACGAGGGGAGGTAAAGACCAGAAAAGGTGCCAGAGGGGGCAGCCGGACACAGGAGGACAGTGGAGAAGTGAGAAAGGACAGGACCCCCAGAGGGGTCTGCCAAGGAGACTGCAACTGGCCGACCAAGCGGCGTGAGAGTGGTGCGGTCTCGAAAGAAGGAGCGAGAGGCCCCTGAGTCAGGTGTGAAGGTGAGGGAGGCCGAAGCCGACGCGGTACCTGAGAGCGCAGACTCATCTGCACCTGAGGACGCAGACGCACTGACACCTAGAGCAGCCGCCGCACCGGCACCTAGAGCAGTAGCCGCACCTGTACCTGGAGACACACTAGCACCCAGAGCAGTAGCCTCACTAGCAACTAGAGCAGCAGGCTCTATACCCGGGTCAGGTGGTACGCACAGGTGACCGGCACGGTCAGCACTAGTAGGCAATGCATACATGGCAGTGAGAATAGTATCATAGTCAAGAGCAAATATATCTACCCTCTGCCTAAGTAACTCCACCCAGTCGGGGAGCTCAGCCTCGTCGCCAAACTCGGTACGCTAGGCGTCGCTCAGACGGGCGAAGCAGCGGGACAGTGTGTGACTAGGCGTCCCAAAAGGCTGACCCGTCCTAGCACCAGTGCGAATCACGTAAGAGCAGCGAACAGAACTGAGAGACCCTCCACTCTGAGCGTACCACTCACGAAGCTGCTGGGGCGTGAGAGACGCTCGTAGGCGTCGCTGGAGCTGCATTTGGCCGCCGCCATTAGTAGTAGCAGTACTAGCGCCGCCACCCCTACAACCCCAACCAGCGTACCACTCACGCAGCTGTTGGGGCGTTAGGGACTCACGCGGACGTCGCTGGGGCTGCATCTGGCTCCGCAAGTAGAATAAGGAGCAGGAGCAGCAGCAGTAAGGCAGGCAGCCAGGCATGCCGAAAGGCAGGCAGGCAGGCAAGCAGGCGACGGGCAGCGCGCTAGCAGGGCAGGGGCTCACCAGTGGTGGGAAGAGTAGGCTCGGCGACTCGGCGGTGCGGGTGGCTTGGGTGGCTCGACGGCACGGCGGCTCGGCAGCACGGCGGCTCGGCAGCAACTGCGGCTCTGCGGCTCGGGCGACTCGGGCGGCTCGGCGGCAACTGCGGCTCGGCGACTCGGCGGCTCGGGCGGCTCGGGCGGCTTGGCGGTACGGCGGCTCGATGGTGACGGCGAGGCCGCTAGGAGATGGTGGCGGGGCCGGGTTGAGCGACGACGGGGCCAGCAGAGATGGCGCCGGGGCCGGGAAGGGCAGCGCCGGGGCCGCAGGTAAGGGTGGCGGGGCCGCAGTTAAGGGTGGCGGGGCTGCAGCGAAGAGCGGCGGGGCCGCAGCGAAGGGTGGCTGGGCCGCAGCGAAGGGCGGCAGGGCCGCAGCAAAGGGCGGCGGGGCCGCAGCTAAGGGTGGCGGGGCCGCAGCGAAAGGCGGCGGGGCCGCAGCGAAGGGCGGCAGGGCCGCAGCGAAGGGTGGCGAGGCCGCAGGGAAGGGCGGCGGGGCCGCGAAGTGGGGCGGCGGGGCCGCGAAGTGGGGCGGCGGGGCCGCGAAGTGGGGCAGCGGGGCCGCTGAAGTAGAGCGGCGGGGCCGCAGGCGTAGGGCGGCGGGGCCGCAGCAGACGGGCGGTGGGGCCGCTAAGTGGGGCGGCGGGGCCGCGGAAGTAGGGCGGTGGGGCTCGTAGGCGTAGGGCGGCGGGGCCGCAGCAGACGGGTGCAGGGGCCGCTGAGGTAGGGCGGCGGGGCCGATGGAGTAGGGCGGCGAGGCCGCGAAGTAGGGCGGCGGGGCCGCAAAAGAAAGGCGGCGGTGCCGCGAACGCGTGGCGGGGCCGCACTAACGGGCGGCGGGGCTGCACGAACCGGTGGCGGGGCCGCTAGGGGAGGGAGGGCCGCTAGGGCGACTCGATGAGATAAGAGCCCGAGGCGCGACTCAGGATGAGCGCGCTTCGGGCAGAAAAAAAAAGTTTCGATATGGTGGTGGGCCCTAGGCACAGTTCCCACAGGGGAACCTGCTCGATACCATGAGAAGAGTTGAACGAGAATGAATGAACTATGAATGAACTGAGTACAAGTACTAACCCTAATTGGGTTGTATCCCTTATGGGCTACCCCACTATAGCCTACACAATAAGCACAAGCTATATGTTCTGACAAGAGCCAACTTACCAGCACCTGAGGAAGCACACGCACTGGCACCTAGAGCAGCAGCCTCACCAGCACCTAGAGCAGCAGTCCCTATGCACAGGTTGGGCGGAAAACACCGGTAACAGTCACCCTCATCACTATTAGTCACAGCATACATGGTAGCAAGAATAGCATCAAAGTCAAGATCAAAGATAGCAACACAGCCCTATACAGCTCGCCCAAGCGAGGGATCTCAGTGGCCTCAGAGAACTGGTGACGCCAAGCGTCCGTCAGGCGGCCAAAGCAGCGCTGGGTGGAGTGGGAATGCCCGCACGGCTCAACCGCGCGGTCGCTGGTGCGTAGGACGTAGGTACACGTACCAGTACCCCCACCCCGCTGACGAGCAGCGTACCATTCACGAAGCTGCTAAGAGGGAGGGATCTCACGTGTGCGCTGATGCTGTTGCTGATGGCGCTGACCACCACCGGAGCTGACCCTCTGCGCAGCGCCACCCCGACCAGCTCCACCTCCTCCGCCGCTACCGCCTCCACCGCCGCCACCTCCGCCACCTCCACTCCCACCGCCACCTGCGCCGCCTCCTCCGCCTCCACTACCGCCACTGACGCCCCCACCCCCGCCACCACCCCCACCGCCACCCCCACCCCCTCCACCGCCTCCACCGCTTCCTCCACCGCCCCCGCTAGCTCCTCCAGAGCCCTTGCCCCCCTTGCCCTTGCCAGGGCGGCGTCTCCCGCTAGGGGTAGACGCTGCACCGACCGACTCAAGACCAACGAGGTCGGCCGCAGCAGCAGAGGCAACAGAGAGTAAGAGAGGAGAGGGGGAGCACCCCTCAAAGATAGGGGCGCGAGGGTCACCACGAGAGGCTCCTACAGCGACTATGCTGTTCTCTGCTGCTAGGAGGCTCTCCTCGAGGAGGTCAACGGTGAGGGTGGTGGGGCAAACAGAGAGAAAGTGGTCCTCGGACCGGGCGAAGGGTGTCAGGGAGCCGGGTGACTATGTAGTAGAGGGTGATGTACAATGGGGGGGGGGGGGGGGTTCTTGGCGCAGAACTCAGCAAGAAGGGCAGCGCGGTAACGAATGTCACTAGTGCGAAGGTGCGTAATGAGGTCAGCGATTGTGGGAAAAGCGGCGAGGTTAGGGAAGAGGTACGGCAGGATGAGGCGGCTAAGTGTAGCAGTGGCAGGGGAAGAGTAGCGTGCAACTACAGCGTCATACAAGGTCTTAGCACTCTTGTACTGACTAAAGGGTGCGCGCTCAGCGGTAGGTAAGTAGCGGCGCACACCAAGACGGGCAGCAACATCGCGTGTGGCCCACTGTGAGCGAACAGTGGCGTCAGCATCAGCAGGAGGGGCAAAAGAGGCACCAGAAGTGAGGTCAAAGAGGGAGAGACCGTCCGCCCTATCGCACTGTAGGAAAAGCTGCAGGTCATCTACCTTGACGTCAAAGTCAATGGCCCAACCCTCAACGTCAAAATCGAGGACACTGGGGGTAGCCATGACAGCAGTAGACGAGCAGCGTGAGGAGTAGGCTAAGGGCAGTGTAGTGGTAGAGGCGCTGCTCTTACCGGGCAGGTGAGAACGACCGAGGCTTGCCGGCAGGAACAGGGCCGCGACAGCTGTGACCGGGTGGAGCGGACAGAGCGAGTCGGGCGGCTCAGCGGCAGCGGCGGCTCGGCGACAACGGTAGCAACGGCGGCTCGGCGGCTTGTCAGCTCGGCGGCAAGAGCGGCTCGGCGGCTCGGCAGCTCGGCGGCAACGGCGGCTCGGCGGTAACGGCGGCTCGACGGCTCAGCGGCACAGCGGCAACGGCGGCTCGGCGGCTCGGCTGCTCGGTGGTGACGGCGGGGCCGAGTGGGGCGACGACGAGGCCGCTGAGGGCGGCGGCGGGGCCACGAAGGGTGGCGACCGGCGCCGCGAGGGTGGGGCCGCGGGGTCGCAAGGGTGGGGCGACGGGGCTAGCAGAGGCCTCGGGGCCGGTAAGAACGGCGCCGGGGCCGCAAGGGTGGGCAACGGGGCCGCGAGGGCGGCGCGAAGGGGCCGCGAGGGCGGCGCGACGAGGCCGCGAGGGCGGTGCGACGCGACGGGGCCGCAAGGGCGGCGCGACGGGGCTGTGAGGGCGGCGCGACGGGGTCGCAAGGGCGGCGCGACGGGGCCGCTAAGAGGGGAGCGCGACACGGGCAAGGGTTGAGTGCGCTCCGGGCAGGAAAAAAAATGGTTGGGTCCTAGGAATAGTTCCTGCTGCAAGTAGTTTAGGGGTGTGTTGAAATATATTTCTTCTATTAAGTGCTTGTAGCGATAATTAGTGTAGTGTTACATTGTTTGGTGGTGCACCTTGCTTGCTTTGCCTATATCCTTGTACCTTCTCTCTTTATTGAACACTTTTTCTCCTTTGCAACTCTCTCGAGATTCCTCTTGAACCCAAAACCTAAGCTACTAAGCTACCATAGCCATGGCTCCTAAGCCTAGCTGTCCTTAGGACTTTGACACAAACCACTAGTTTTCAGAGATAAATCCCCAAACTAGCTTGTGTTTTGCACAATCGTTTAGAGGCAATCAGGTCATGCAAAGTTCTTCACGTTATCTCCTGGTTTCCAACCGATTTCAATCGGAAAGACGATAGGGGTTGGCGAGGCAAGGAATAGTGCATACGGATTTATGTAAGATGCATACACTCGACGTCACACAAGACATTTGGAATATTTGTAGGCTCATATAACGTACATTTAAATGTGGTTACGAGAAAAAGAAGGAAAGAAAGAAAGAAAGAAAGAAAGAAAGAAAGAACGAACGGGCATGAGTAGTAGCAGTCGTGCTGCATCTCACGACTTTCACATTGTAGGCCGCCAGCAGCTGCAATCGAGCGTGATGGAAATACTACATGGCTATATATGTGTGTGTGTGTTTGTGTGTATGTGTTTGTGTGTGTATATATGCGCGCGTGCGCGCGTGTCAAGAGTCTAGGGGTCGAAACGCGGGCTCTAACACCATGTCAAAGTAGCCTTAGCCATAGGAGCCATCACTAGAGTACGAACATGCATGTCGAGAGGGTGTCAAGAGAGAAGTGATGGTTCACTATAGGATTGAGGGTACAAATAGGAAAATAACAAGGGCAAATGGTACACCACCTATTGAAAGAAAGATAACTATAATAGGCTATATTGTAGGCATTTCTGAATGCATACAAATGCATCTTAACACCTCGCTCTAGTGTTTCAGGCCGTACAAGATGAAATATGCGCACAAAAGTGCACAACTATCATCTATATATATCCTTACATCCTTACACTGAGTTTACCCATCATAGGATAGGGGAACACTTGTGCAAGTAAAATCTTCAAGAATAGACACGAGTGATACGTGGTGCCATTTTTATGTCCGGTTGTTTTTCTCATTCAATGCGCTTTTATTTTTAGATGATCCAAACACTTGCTAAATTTCAAGAACAATGGACATTTTTGGACTCATCTTGACAAGGTGTTAAGGGCCCACACCGTCAATCAACTCCTGCAAACGGTGAAGCATGCTCTTTGTGTGCCCTGGGAGCCGAGCATAGTGCAGATATTGTTAGAATCCCAACCACTAGACCATTGGGATAAAAGGGCTTGTTTGTATAGCGAGTCCGTGCGCCCATAACCCCCCATGCGAGCGCGCCTGTAACCCCCCTAGGATCAATCGAGGATACCACAGCGCAACTCTACTGACAACCCCCCACACTGGGAGGTCCAGGATTGAGCACAATGACAACAGCCTGCATGTGCATACATTGGGATTCGAACCCGAGACCGCTCTGATACCATGTTAGAATCCCAACCGCTAGACCATTGGGGTAAAGGGGCTTGTTTGTATAGCGGGTCCGTGCGCCCATAACCCCCCATGCGAACACGCTTGTAACCCCCCTAGGATCAATCGGGGATCTCACAGTGCAGCTCTACTGACAGATATCACTCGATGTATGGTCGAATAACATTCAGCTGCAGGTCCCCCACCTTGTCTGCAACCACAAAAAGTCAGGGTTAATAAAGTCCGAGTTCGATACTGCTTTGGTATGAAGCAAGAAAATAATTCATTGGGAGAGGGGACGTGTTGTGGGTAGGGGTCGCGATGGGTAGGGTGGAGGGAGGGAGGGACTAGGGTGGGGTGGGAAAGAATGCATATTAGTATAAATTGCTCCTGTATTGGTGATATTGAGGACGGACCGATGCTCAAGCGCCGCCACTTGGGCACCGGAAACAAAATACGTTAAATTGGGTAGCGTAGATGAGTCATAACAATGCACTCTTATAAGTGTCAAATTATAATATTGTGTAGGCTATAGTGGGGTAGTCAATATGGGGTACACATTTCTAGGGTTGCATATTTGTATCACTTCCATTCCTTAGTCAATCCATTCTCATTCTACACATGGTATCGAGCAGGTCCCCCCTTGGGAACTGTGCCTAGGGCCCACCACATCGAGTTTCACTTTTTTTTTTTTTCTCCTGCCTGAAGCGCGCTCCGCCCGAGTCGCGCTCCGGGCTCTCACCTCGCCGAGTCGCCCTAGTGGCCCCTACGACCTAGCGACCCTATCGCCCTAGCGGTCCTATCGCCCTATCGCCCTAGCGGCCCCTTCCCCTAGCGGTCCCGCCGCCTTACGATTTGTCCCCGCTGCCCTTTCATGCGGCCCCGCCGCCTGTCTTAGCGGCCCCGTCACCCTTCTCAGCGGCCCCGTCGCCCCACATTGCGGCCCCGCTGCCCGTCTCCGCGGCCCCGCTGCCCATCTCCGCGGCCTCGCCGCTCCTCGCTGCGGCCCCGCCGCCCTACTCAGCGGCCCCGCTACCCTTCTCATCAGCGGCCCCGCCGCCCTTCTCCTCAGCGGCCGCGCCGCCCTACTCAGCGGTCCCGCCGCCCTTCTACTCAGCGGCCACGCCGCCCTTCTCCTAAGTGGCCCTGCCGCCCTACCCAGCGGCCCCACTGCCCTTCTCCTCAGCGGCCCCGCCGCCCTACTCAGCGGCCCCGCCGCCCTTCTACTCAGCGGCCCCGCCGCCCTTCTCCTCAGTGGCCCCGCCGCCCTACTAAGCAGCCTCGCCGCCCTTCTCAGCGGCCCAGCCGCCCCTCGCACCAGCGGCCCTGCCGCCCTACCCCGCCCGCGCCGCCAGAGCTGCTTGAACCGCATGAGCCTCCCGAGCCGCCCGACCTGCCCGAGCTGCCCGAGCCGCCCGACTCTCCTAAGCCGCCCGAGCCGCCCGACCAGCCCGAGCCGGCCGAGCCGCCCGAGCCACCCGAGCCGCCTGAGCCGCCCGAGCCGCCTGAGGAGCCGAGCCGCTGGTGCCACGGAGCCGCAGTTGCTGCTGTACCGCTGGGCTGCCCGACCCGCCCTGCCTGGTGAGAGCAGCGCTTCTGTCACTGCACTGCCCCTGTCCTACAGTTGGTACTGCTAGTCCACTACTGTCATGGCTACCCCCAGTGTTCTTGCTTTTGACGCTGAGGGTCGAGCCATTGACTTTGAGGTTTGGGTGGATGACCTGCAGCTTTTCCTACAGCGCGATAGGGCAGACAGTCTTTCCCTCTTTGACCTCACCTCTGGTGCTTCCCCTGCCCCTGCTGCCAATGCCGACGCAACTGTTTGCTCCCAGTGGGCCACTCGCGATGCTGTTGCACGTCTTGCTGTGTGTCGCCACCTGCCTACCACTGAGCGCGCGCACTTTAGTCAGTACAAGAGTGCTCAGACCTTGTACGACGCTGTAGTTGCACGCTACTCTTCCCCTGCCACTGCTGCACTGAGCCGCCTCATGCTACCGTACCTCTTCCCTGACCTTGCTGCCTTTCCCACAGTCGCTGACCTCATTACGCACCTCCGCACTAGTGATACTCGCTACCGCGCTGCGCTTCCTGCTGAGTTCTGCGCCAAGAACCCCCCCCCCCATGTACATCACTCTCTATTATATAGTCACCCGCCTCCCTGACTCCCTTCGAGTAGTCAGGGACCACTTCCTCTTAGTCTGTCCCACCACTCTCACTGTTGACCTCCTTGAGAAGGCCCTCCTAGCAGCGGAGAAGAGCATAGTCGCTGTGGGAGCCTCTCGTGGTGACCCTCGCACCCCCATCTTTGAGTGGTGTTCCCCTTCCCCTCTGTTGCCCTCTGTCGCCTCTGCTGCTGCGGCCGACCTCGTTGGTCTTGAGTCGGTCGGTGCGGCGTCTGCCCCTAGCGAGAGACGCCGCTCTGGCAAGGGCAAGGGGGGCAAGGGCGCGGGTGGAGCTAGCGGGGGTGGTGAAGGTGGTGGTGGAGGCGGCGGAGGGAGTGGGGGTGGCGGTGGGAGTGGTGGCGGGGGTGGCGGTGGCGGTGGCAGCAGCGGAGGCGGAGACGGCGGTGGCGGTAGCGGTGGGAGCGGAGGCGGCGGTGGTGGCGGAGGTGGAGGCGGCGGTGGTGGAGGAGGTGGAGCTGTTTGGGGTGGTGCTTCGCAGCGGAGCGGCTCCGGGGGTGGTCAGCGCCAGCAGAAGCAGCGTTCTTGGGACATCCC